GACGGCACATAACAACAACAACAACAAGGCTCAGATCAGGCAAGGCATTACAGGATCTATGCATTCATAAAAAACTAGGCAAAGTCACAGCTTCACCTCAGTTTCCTATCTGGAAAATAAGATAACTAGGTGAAAGGAATTTCAAAAGAATCCTTCCATCTCTTAACATTCCATCTTAGAGTTAAAGGTGTAGAAAACTTTACTCATTCAAGACTGGAAACAAGGAAGAAATTAAAAGCTGCTTTGAAAAAAAAAAAAAAACTAGTTCAGGTTTCCCTTTATCATTAAAGCCCATCCACCTTCTTCCTTTCCATGATAAAGGATCAAGATGATCACATTTCCCCTTTGTAATCTGCTTCAAAACATAATGACTACTGCTTAAAAGGCACTGTTTAAGGGTGATGAAAATACCTAGAAACTGACAGTGGTGATGGATGCACAATCTGGAAAATGTAAAATTAATGTCATTGAATTGCACATGCAAAAATGGTTGAAATAGCAAATAATAGTGTTACATATATATTTCACAATAAATATTTTAAAATATAAAAATGACTGTTACAGTGATACATTAAAACAAAGAGAAAAAAAGAACTCAAAACTAAATATAAATGGAAACAAATTAATCTAATGCTCTTTCAAATAGATAAATAATTACAAACAAAAAATAATTAATCCACATACTTTTTTAGTATAGTTCCCTAACTGTACACCTTCAGTGACATATAGTCCAACACAAGAAACTATAAAAACTATCTGGAACTTCATAGGTGTGTTGCTGGTAGTGGTATAGTAATCCTGAAACTATCTTGTGCATGTCATATAACAGAGCAAATGAATTAAACGAGATAAAGCATATAAAATAAGAAATAGGGGAAGATGAGGAAGAATGTAGACATATAATATGAACTGGAATTGTTAATGAGCTCCTGATTTAAAATATATGCTTATCTCTCAGTTCCGTCCACTGAAAGAGCCTAGAAACAATGATAGCTTGGTGGCAACGAGCATACCTACAACCCACACCCTTGCTTCCTAAATATTATTCCCCATTAAAAGTAATCAAGACTTGATTGGAGAAATGGTTGATTCTAGGTCTGGGACAAGAAAAGTTCAAGGAAGGATGATCCAAAATGGAGTCTCGTCAGTAATCACCATGCTAATTCCCTCTAGCATCTTAGTGCCTGAAAAACTAGGTACAGTAGTTTGAATTAGGGATTCTGGTGCTCTAAACAATACAGAGTGAGAGTGCACCAAACTCAGGGGAGTAGGATTAGAAAGGGACAGGGGGAAAAAAAATAACAGTAGATGTACTCTGCAGAGCACCGACAGGCAGGCGAGAAAGGCCATCAGAGACCTTGCTGGGGAAGCGCCAACCGGCAGGCAAGAAAGTCCATCCAAGACCTCCCTGGATTAAGGAAGAAGCCATACCACACCAGCATACCACTGACCACACCAAGGATCTACCTTCAGCACCTTATTTTAATCAGTAACTTGGGTCGGCTAGGTGCAAACAGCCACGTCCAGCATCACTAAAACCCGAGCAGCGAGTCCAGTGGTGCTGCAAGAGGGCAGGCCCGGGGAGGTGCCCCTGCAGCAGATCACTGAACAGGCTTGGGTCAGCTTTGTGACACTGAGGGGCCCTCACTTGACTTTGTCAGTAATATTGGAACCACTAGTGCGAGCGGGCACTGGCCTGACTCCAGTGCCACTGAAACTGAGTGCATCTTTGGCGCTGAGGGTGGGCGGGACCAGAGAGGAACTCCCACCAGGTATCATGGTGTGGGCCGGGCCATGGGTGGGTGGGTCCAGAGAGGAACTCGTGCAGCAGATCGGGGAGATGGGCAGTTGTCTTGGGTTGGCTTTTTGGCACTGAGGGATGTTGGGAGCAGGGTTTTTGTGTGTGTCTGAGCCTGGCAGGAGGTGGCGACCCCCTAACAACTGAAGTCTTTGCTGAACTTGAGCTATGGGGCTGTAAATGACATTACATCATCATTAGCAGCCCGCTCAAAGCCCTAGAAACCACCTTTGGCAATGGGGAGCTTTCCTTTTTCCTCTCTTCCGCTCCCACCTTCTGTATCAATAACCTCACTCATCGAATAGAAGAAACCACATTCAACCAACATAATACCTCCCAGTTCGAATTCTAAGACCTCTTTACGACAAACAGAAACCCATATCCACATTCCACACAGTGATTCCATCGTCACAAAGAAAACTGCGAACAACCCAGCATACCTGAATTAGTAACGAAAAAAATAAAATACACCAGGTCCACCTTTTCAAAATATTAAATCATAAAACCAAGACAAAACAAATCAATACATAACCAACAATGAAAAACAACGTCAAAATGTCTAGGAAACAACAGGCAACCTCAAATCAAACAAACAAACAAAAAAAACAGGACAAGGCATCAGAAGCAAAACCACAAACAAAGATCTCATTAAACATGGAGGAAAAGGAGGCAATAGAACTATCTGAGAAGGAATTTAGAAGGTATGTTTATAGAGCTTTACAAGAGCCTAAGGAAACCCCAAACAGAAGCAAGGAGAACACACACAATTGCCTGGAAGAATTCAGGAAAATCATTCAAGAACAAAATAACAAGATTAATGCACGATCAGAACTCATACAAAAACAGCAGTTAGAAATCCAGAAGATGAATATCAAAATTACAGAATTATACAATACAGTAGAAGCACAAAAGAGTAGGTTAGAATTGGCTGAAGAACGCATATCCTAACTAGAAGACAAATACCTGGACACCAGACTGTATAAAGAAAAATCAGAACAAAGATTTAAGAGAAATGAAGAGAACCTAAGAATTATATGGGATGACATGAGAAGAAACAACATTAAGACTCACTGGAATTCAAGAACAACAAGAGGAGAAAAAAAGCACTGAGAAAATTGTAGAAAACGTTCCCCATATCTTGAAGGAGGTATTTGTCCAAGAAGCTCATAGAACTCCACATAAGATAGATTACAAGAAAAAAACACGAAGGCATATAATAATCAAACTTTCCAAAACCAAAGACAAATAAAAAATTTTGAGAGCTGCCTGGGACAAAAGAAATATCATTTATAATAATCAAACAGTTAGGCTGAGCTCCAATTACTCAGCAGAAACCATGCAGGCAAGAAGACAATGGGATGGCATATATAAAATACTGAAGGAAAAGAACTTCCAACCAAGAATCCTATATCCAGCCAAATTATCCATCAAATATGAGGGCTAAATCAAGGAATTCCCAGACAAACAAAAATTAAGGGATTTTGTGAAAACCAGACCAACCCATAAAAAATGATTAAGGAAGTCCTTCCAATAGAGAACCTACAACAGAGATCAACAAAATCAGGATACGTGGCATCAACACTAAAAGCAAATCAGAAATAAAAACTCAAGATAAGAGCATAAAACACTGTACACTCACCTTCTGGGCCCACAGGAACTCCATCACAGTCTGTGTGCTCAGATGGAGCCTGGGTGTCCTGCCCTGTCCTCCACCGATATTTTTTTTTCTTTTGCACTTTCTTTTCTTTTTTTCTTTTTTTTGGTGATCAGTTTGCTTGTATTTGTCTCTTTTATAACTAATATTACCAATACTTTTGTCCCTTTTATTATTATTCTTAATCTTCCCCTCCAAGGTCCTATATTTCAGCATTTTTTCTTTTCCATGTGCCTGGTTGAATTTTTTTTTTTAATTTTTTTAATTTAAGATTTTTATTCCCCCCTTTTTTTCTTGTGGTTAACCCTGTTCCTTGATTTTCTTTTTGCATTTTTCCCATATATTTTTTCATTTATTATTCTCCTCTATATTTTTTCCTTAGTGCCCTATCCCCAGATATTGCAGGTTTTCCTGTTTTTTATCTTTTTTTCCCCTTTTTCTTTTTTTGGTTACTGTT